AAAAAACAAACACTTCCATGAGCAAAACAATAATTCTGAACAAATATAATCAGATAGATCAGATTTTTTTAAAAAAATATAGAAGGTAAAGCAATATTCTCCTGTACATTATGAGACAATATGCACATTACAAGAACATAGGTAACTAAATTTTGGGTTTTCCCTGTCCACATCAAAATCTAAAGATTTACTCCCTATGCTACAAGGTCTGCTACAAACATCCATTTCTGTGTACTTAGGCACTTTAAGAATATAATAATTGTTTTTTATATTTCCCTTTTTCCTTCTTCAAGTACTCATTGTCAAATGAAAGTGCAAAATTTCCATGGGACAGCATGGCAGGATAGGTTTGCTAGAATGTGACTGGAAGATACTCCAAAGCAAACAATATGAAAGAAATTCATGATCTCCATGGATGATGTGAAATTTATCATTATTGTGGTATTCTGCCAAAGCCCTGAGAATGTAATAGAGGTGAAAATACTATTATAGAACTGTGCCAACAGCAGCTAGAAAGCTTACTATTTACTTTTACTCCCTGTCATGTGAAGAACAGCATTTGTATGCTTCTTGCATGACAAACATCCCTCTTAAGGAGGAGCCTCGTGGTGCAGTGGTTAAACCGCTGTACTGCAGCCAAAACTGTGCTCACGACCGAGGGTACAATCCCAGGTAGCTGGCTCAAGGTTGACTCAGCCTTCTATCCTTCCGAGGTCGGTAAAATGATTACCCAGCTTGCTGGGGGGGGGCAATGTGTAGCCTGCATAATTAACTTGTAAACCGCCCAGAGAGTGCTTGAAGTGCTATGGGGCGGTATATAAGCAGCATGCTTTAAGACCTCAGTGCTCATTGAACATTATAAATATATAGGTGTGGTACTGCAATTTGCTGGCTCAATTTTATCCTGCCTTCATTCACATGTGTATTGCAGTTCTTAACTTGCTGAATTGAATATATAATCCATTAACAGTAATACCCACGTGACTCTGAACACACTTAACGTGTTGGTCTTTGGTTGCTAAGCAGGTCAAGTCTAGTTACTACTTGAATGGGAGACTAGCAAGTGTCTCCATGTTGGGCTGAGAAAGAATCCTGGCTGAAACCCTTCAGAGCCAAAGCTAGTCTGTTGAAAATATGGAGCTAAATGTATTGGGATCTGTCCCTCTGACACATCCCTGTATATCCTTACTTTTTGCCTCTTCATATAATTGTCCAGCAATGTTGGCAAAAAGAAGGCAAATAACTAGCTATGATCAAGGCAAAGTGAGGCGGCCTCCTCAAGTGAATGATTTTGTGCATCGTGAGGTGGGAGTGAGTTATTGGTCACTGAATTAATTATTATATTGTTTGTACTTTGAGGGATGTGCAAAAATAAATAGATTGACTTTGGGCACGTCATGGCTTGAGTTGGGTGGAAGGGAAACATGTCTCCCTACCCAAGAGAGCAAAATGTCTTGATTCATCCCTGGTTATCACTTGCACCGAATGTGTGAGCTTGTTATAAGTGTTGGTGTTGTCTGTTCAGCTTTAAAAAATTCATGTCTTTCACTTCTTAAATCCTTAAATGTGGCAGTCAGGGGTGGCTGCTGCATTGGAGGGTCTGGTTTTTTAACAGTTGTCTTACTGATTCACATGAGCAAGTATCGCCTTGAGTCTTAGTTGGTTGTCTTTATAAAAATAGTAGTGCTACTTTTCTTACCGTCTATAGCTTGTTTCACCTCAGGTTGACGAGAGCAAGCCAGAATTTTGTTTTTGTTATGTGCCACCAAGTCTTCTCTGACTTATGGTGACCCTATGAATGAACAGTCTCCAAAATGTCCTGTTCTCAACAGCCCTGCTTAGCTCTTGCAAACTCAAGCCTGTGGTTTCCTTTATAGCCAATCCATCTTGTATTTGGTCTTTCTCTTTTCCTGCTGCTTTCAACTTTTCCTAGCATTATTATCTTTTTCAGCAAATCTTGCCTTCTCTTGATGTTCCCAAAGTAGGATAGCCTCAGTTTCAATATTTTTTCATCCAGCAGTAATTCAACCTTGATTTGCTATAGGGTTCACTTGTTAGTCTTTCTGGCATATCTTCAGCTCCTGTAAATTTATGCAGCCATGTTGAGTTTCATTGTCAAAAGGACAATTATGATTTAGACAGGCTGATCATGTTCTTCTCGACCTAGGGGCACTCAAGTGTTCTTGGACTACAATTCTCAGAAGCTTTCACCATTACCTGTGCTGGCTGGCATTACTGGGAGTTGCAGTGCAAGAACACCTGGATTACCTAAATTAGGAACCACTGATCTAGCTCATACAGGCAGCATTCCTTTCTCCTAGCAAATCTTGAAATGGAGCCTACCAGGGGTCCACACCTTAACATCATGGTAAAAGGAAGAACATATGTGCTGTTGAAGAACATTTAGAGGGATAGTCCTCCCTATATGCTTAAATACAAATGGTGCAAATGGAGCTGTCGGAGCTGTCAGGGAGCCATCCCCAGAGAGACTTCGCTGTTCCTGCCTGTTTAAACTGAGGGACAATCCTAGGAAAAATTAATTTTTTGAACCACAACTTCGAGAATTCCCCTGCCAGCTTGTTTTAAGGTTTTATAGCAAACAATGTCAGAAGAAATCAGAATTATCTTCCATTTAGAAAAGCTTACATGCTGTTGCCTTGATTTAATCTCCTTACTCATACCCTTTATAAAAATAGGGTAGGATTTTTATTTATTAATTTATTTTTTGCAGTACACGAGTTCATATATCATTATCTTATCATTATCCCCCCCCCCCGGATCTAAATGCAGCATATTGAACAATTGTTCAGTGTGGCTATTCAGTGGAGAATTAAATTAGTTCAAATGTACATTCCAATTAAAATAATTCTTCCATTTTGGACTTCAAAATGAGGCTTATTTGTATTTAATGATATAAATATATTTAATGATGGAGAAAAGGGAGAAAAACCAACAGAATGAGCAAACTTGCATTGAAAAGAAAGCTCTTATTTTTAAGCAAGTAAATATTATTATTTTTAAGCAAGTAAATTAAGTTCCAACTGTATATATTTGCACATGCTGCTATGGAAACAGCAGTAGGTATCTCAGGCTAAGCAGGGTGCTGAGGCTGTGCAGAGGGATGGATGGATGGATGGATGGATGGATGGATGGATGGATGGATGGATGGATGGATGGATGGATGGATGGATGGATGGATGGATGGATGGATGGATGGATGGATGGATGGA